TTGGGGAACCATTGAAAACCCGGGAGCACTGGACATCTGTTTCGTCCTGGTGTGAGACTCTTCTCAGCAGTACGTACCCATGACCCGGCTAGGAATCGAACTCGGAACCTTCAGGTTTCATGGCAAACACACTAACCACTCAGCCACTGGGTTGGCTTCCAGTGACCTTTACAATCATCCCGTTATATAGTGATATGCAACCCAGGAAGTTCTAATGAGAGGCCGTGACCTATGGGGTCAACCAGTCGGAAGTGAAGTGGATGCTAACTGAAGACCTTGGGTTACAGTCGTGAATTGACAGAAGTTGGAAACTGTGAACCACTGGAAACCAACCCAATGACTGAATGGTTAACGCGTTCGCCGTGAAACCTTAAGGTTCTGAGTCCGATCCCCAGCCGGGTCGTGGGTGCGTACTGCTGAGGAGTCCCATACCTAGGTGGAACAGGTGTCCAGTGCTCCCAGATTTCCGATACTTCTCCAAATGATGTCAGTCCATGATGAATACTACTTCTGAATTAAAAATCCCCATTCATCTTGAAAATTTATTATTACTATTTGTCCCTTGGGTTCCTAGTGGAACATAGGGCTTCGGTAGCACGCCTCCATTTCACTCTCTTCTCTGAAGTCTTTTCGACCTGGCTCCACGACTGCCCATATGCTTTTATTTCTTCCTCATATGATCTCTTCAATGTCACCCACACCTGGGACGCCTAACTCATCGTTTCCCCTTTGAATTCCACTCGACGGCCTGGCCTGACGCTTGATGTCCCCAGTCAGCCTTCTCAGTGTATGCCCGATCCATCTTCACTTTCTTCTGCATATTTGTTGAGTGATAAGTTTTTGGTTGGTTCATTCTAAGAGTTCCTTGTTGCTTATTCTTTCTGGCCATCTGATCTTCAGTATCGAGCCAGCATAGGCAGCTGTTAATGAATGTCTATAGTATGTTGGAAACTGAAAGAATTAGTTTCTCAAAAAGAAACTATTAAATAGACAGACTACTAGTGAAATAAGACTTAAATTATGTGTATCCTTTCTCTAAAACAGTAAGTTTCATTATCCTGACCTTATATACTCCACTTAGCATATAATTGTAAAGTTAATTAGATTATAGAAGTTCAAAGAATAAATAATTATAATTAAATGAATGTTTTACAGAACAATAGTATTAATACTCTATAGTGATCTGTTAGGATTGGAAAGCGAAGTGATTTCTCTGTAGAAAAAACCCAACTTAATAATAAGGGTATACACCAAGTTAAACTGTATGTAGTATCATTATTACGGGTATAATATGAGATAAGCCTATCGAAATAATTATACATATGAATAGAAATCAACTACATGAACTGTAGTTTAAATGCTGAGATATACTTTCATGGTGGTTTTCTTAATTGTAGTACACCAAACGCTGATTCAAAAGGAACAATATGAAACTTAGATAGTACTAATAAACCAGGTGATTATTAGAAGAAATTATCTAATGAAAACCCAAGTTTCTGATACATACTTAGAAGTTATAAAAGTGGCTTCTTGCTTGACTTCATCAGTAACTTCAATATACTTGGCTTATTAAAACCGGTTTACTGCACTGGCCAAAATACTTCTATGAATGGATTGCTTGATATGGTTACGGAGCAGTACAGATTAACATAAGGGAGGTCCTAAAAGAGAACTAATGACAGTGAAAAAGAAGCCTTTTTTTGGGCTTACAATTCAAGGGAGACACTGCAAATAGCATTCTATCACAACGCCTAAATAGAGTGGTCAACAGAACTTTTACTGAAGATCAGTTTGGTATATTACATCATTCAATGGTCAACCAATGTTCAGTCCGAGAATAAAGGATAGACTACCTTATCTTAACCCTTCATCTTGCATATATCAACTTAACTATTCCTGTGGAACTAGTAACAGGGCGGCGTACGACTAGGTAAGTGCGTCTCCGAACACAAGAGCGTTTGTCGGCTTGGTCTGGAAAGAGCGAAGCGAAAAGTTCAGTCCTACCTCACCTAGTAGACACACGTCATCACATAAATGCTAATAAAGCTTTAATATCATCCATTCTATTCCAAAAATAACACCACATATAGCTCGCCAACACCTCCTCAATATAGCGGAGACTCTTGTAATAAGATTGACCAAGCCTTAACTGTGCATTCAGAAAGAATATGTCTAAGCGTTACTTCTCTCTTTGTCTTCAGTAAACTAAAGTCCACTCCTGCCTTTTTATTCGTTATCTTTTTGTTCACTATCATTCATGTGTGTGTGTATTATCCAAATATTGACAAATTTAAGAAGTAAAATCAACTTTCTTACAATCCCTAAATCTCACTCCATTTTGAAAATATATTTGCACCTAACATGGCTTGATTTCACGCTGTATAATTGCATTTTATAATTGTAAAACCTGATGCGAGAATTTATTGAAAAGAATATTCTTTGTTTAAATTGTTGTTTTTTATCCTGTTTCCTTTCAAAAGTCAAAATCATTCATGAGATTCAGTGAAAGCCTTCACTAACATGATAGAGAATGGCTTTTGTTTCTAGTCTTAAGGATAGTAGTAATATCCGAAAAAAGTTTATATTCCCGAATAAATAGGTTAAGAATTAAATTGCAACAAGTAATCTAATAGTAACCGATACATTTAAAAATTGTCCTATTCTAGACTAATAGTCATCTGTTATACGAAATAGATCGAAAACTTTAAGTATAATCTTGTTTCTATATACAACTCGTTAACATATTGTAGGTGTAATCGAGAGAAACCTATGCGCAGTTTCTCTTCAACGTTCAATTCGACATCGTTCTATGACACAACAAAAGGCATTTTAGCCGAAATATTCAGACAAATACTATCCTTTAAAAAATATGGCGCCAAGTATAGTACACCTCAGTTTCATGACCATCTTTCTTAGGAGATAACCAAAAAAGCTGGACCGCCATTTACCACCTGATGGAAAGCTTGGCTGTATTTTTAAATATCTTCTCCTTTTCCATCTGTAGCGAAATGAACCAGAATAAAGAGAATAGCTAAAGGCTTATTTTCAGAAACACTTCACAACTGTATTGGTTGTTATTGTCGGATTATTCCCATCTTTATCTTAGTTACCACACAGCCTTCTTTGCACCCCACCTAAAGTAAACGCTAAACATGTAACTACCAAAGAGAATGCATAACTTCATTAAAAACCTTTTTTTTTCAATTAGTTATCAGCTATACACAGAATAATAATTTTTAGTTATTCTAAAGTAAAGCTTCATTACACTCATTGTGTACTATTCTAGAACATTCATGTTATGCTTGTATCAAAGCACTAAATGCAAATATTCTTTTCAATGTAAATTACTTGAGAAGAAAGAAACAATGAGATAACAATGAAAGAAAAGAAGCAGGAAATAGCATATCCACAGCAGTAAGTCTTTACATCAGCAGAATATTAATGCCATCATAGTATTATTAGTCGTACTAACGACAGTATTAATACTAATCAAGGATAAACACATTAGAAATCTAAGGTAATACTACTATAGTCCTTATTATTATTATTAGTAGTAGTAGTAATAGGAAGAAAGGAATGAATGATTAGTGGTAAAAAGGGGGCGCTACACAATAGAGTTGTACATTTCAGAAAATAAAGTGTCTAAACTAATTGACAATGAAACAATGATGATTGGAAATGATAAGAAAAGGGAAGTGATTCATTGTTTCTGTATCCATTAATCATCATCAGTATTATTACTTGAAGCATTTAGATGAAGAGAAAGGAAAATAATATAAAAGCGCTAAACAATGCAAATATTTTTAAATTTATATAATTATAATATATACTGGTAGGCGTACAAAATCTATTTGCTGCTAGTTCAGTCGTGAAATGAAGCAACAACGTATATATATATATATATATATATATATATATATATTATATGGTGAACAACAAAGATCTATAGAAACCAATCATCAATCAAGGCAACACATAAAAGGCGGAAATATCTAACATATAGTAGAAGTGATGATAATAATAATCATAAACTAATCGAGTAAAATTAATCAAAGCCAAAAATGAAGCCACTAAATTAAAACAACTAAAGTATACACACATACACACGCACGTACAATGAGAAACAAACTTATGATTTACACAATTCAATGGATTATTCGATTGAATAAGCGAATTCTAAGAATGTTTGTGCTATAAGCACACATACACATATGTATATTCGATGTCTAATAACATCAACAACAAAACTGGAACAATACAACAATTGGCTGACTATCATATCTATAAGATGATATTTGTCATCAGTCAACCTAAAGATCGACAATGCACTGATAACAAAGCTCTATACTGCTACTTTTCATATGATAATTACTCCTTTAAGAAACTGAAGAAGCAAACGAAAAGACAGTGAGACTAGGGTAAAAAAAAAGTAAGTAAGTAAGTGGGTCTATTTTAGAAAAGATGGAGATTATGCATTTTTTCAGTAAATTCATTTATGTTCAATTAAAAATAGGTAGTATAACAACATTCGTTTAAAGAATATACACTTAATCCATGTATATGTATTATATAATTAATAATGTGTATACGAGAGATGCGTAAAATGGAAAAGAAAGTTGATCAATGGAATGAGAGAGAAAATAAAGAATTGAAATGAAGATAGAAAGAATAACTAGGGATACACATAACTCGATTTTCTATAGTCGGTTACATGTTAAACTTGACTAAATCAGCAATTTTGTTGCATAGTATTTAACACAGATAATAAGCTTACCAATAATAATGATAATAATAATAATAATGACAAGTAGACTACTACCATTAACATAATGATAAGATACTATGAAAACAAACAGAAGCATACCGCCACCAGTGGATTGGATTATTCATATTTCTGAGAAAGAATAAAAGAACATATACAGATAACAAGGTTACCTAACAACATGATTATCATATACAATAATCAATATAATAAATGTTGGAATTACAACAGTGTTAAGTTAACATGTTCGACATGAATATGAGTATAGAAAATAATAATAATAATAATAATAAAGCAGATTATATGATAATGTAGAATAATCTATCAAGAAATATGATATCATGATTATTGGAGATATTTCACATCGGTATTGTTTCAAGGACTCCAAAAGAATACAAGTATGCATTCTAATATGCTGTTTATTTTTTATAATATCCACACTAGCTGTAGTAGTCATCAAACGGTAGATATAATGCCAAACAGGAAATAATCTACAAGTATCAATTAAATCTTGTATATTGTTCAACCATATAAAGCAATAAAAAGTTAATGAGATGATGAGTATAATTCCAAAAGAAATATTATTAATCTTCACGATAACACTAGACGATGATTGATGAAATAAAGATGAAGGAGATAAATTATTCATGGAATCATTTCTAGAAATATTAACATTATAATTCCATACTGTTGAAGTTTGATCTAATATATCAGGATATTCCGGTATTAATGATGATTCCAATGATAATAATCGATGAAGACAACGATCACGAAGTTGACTACATGACTGATTATGATTATTCAATTCATCATTGCTATTAGATGTATAAGATAAAAGTATATCCGAGAGAAAAGGGTATTGTCTCCTTTCAGGAATGGATACAGAGAGAAGATTTGAATCTGATATACCGAAACAACATTCAGATTCACAAGTATTCATATCTCGGTATACAGCTTGATATCTTGAACTGTGATGGTAATGGCTCTCTATATAATGAAAAAAAAATAATAAACAACACAAAATACAATTAGTAGTTGGTTAAAACATTTACTACACTGACAAAGTCAATATGGAATCTTGAACACAACTGTATCGCCTCAAGTTGCCACACTTCACCACATAAGACAAAGTTGTGTGAGAGAATAAACAATTTTAAAATTAAGGTTAGTGTGAATATTCGACCTTTAGAAGATATCAAGGAGTCGGTAATATATCTGCGCCATTGTGACCAGTTCTCAGCCATATTGCCAAGTGTCCTCAATCACTGATTCCTATCGCCTCGGGGGACCTCAACCAGGCAGTCTACATCTCCCTACACGGCTCAAGTCAACAATCAGGGAGGGACTTTATTGAATGGTGCCACTTCTCGGTTTGGCCATCCTGATTTAACTTCTCCTAGCATAGCACATAGAAGTAGACAGTGGTTCGGCAAGTGCAGTAAATATCCAAGCCATCTCAGTCAAATAAGTATATATGCAAAAGTACCTAAATGGGAAGACAACTAGCAATCTTTAAATTCATGTAGTTACTTGATAAAATATATTTAAAATTACTATAGGGGTAAAACTTCAGCACTGTGGTACAATGTAGTTTCATATTGGATTTGTTCATTTGATATATAACACACAGTGATCTAGTATTATTCACTGGATGACGTTTCGAATTGAAATTACTGTTCATAGTCTTATCAATGTCATCTCACATTACGTCTGATTTTTATACTCTTGTCACTCCTGATATTCTTTGCTTCTATTAATAGTAAAATGTTCTATATCTCTGGTATAGGTGTTGCGTCATTCCAGTTACATGTTATAGGTGTGGATTCGATCAACAAAGCTTCAGTAATCAATTTCCCTCTCCACCTAATTAAATTGGACTTAATTAAGTACAGTGGTTTTATCCCACCATCCTACTTTGTGGTTGTGTGTTAACGCATGTAATGCATTAGCCGAGTGTTTTTTCTAGATTATTAATCTTATTTGGGTCTGTCATTCTATATTTAGCTGAAATCCTATGGTTCCACTATTCCAACCGACTCCAACCGGCTAGTCTGATCGATGCACTTGATCACATAGTCATTGCATGGAATTTGATAGATTAAATTATTTCGCTTAATTGGTTCCATCGAATCCTTCAGCTAGCCGACAAAGCTCATCTCTGAGTGAATTTGTAGGTTTAAATGCCACCCTAATTCGAGCTTTGTTGAAGATTGTACGTAAACCTACAAACTCACTCAGAGATAAGCTTTATCAGCTTAAGAACCCTATAGAACCAATTAAGTAAAATAATCTAATCTACCAAATTCCGTACAGTGACAGTCAGGGCAACTACATAGGTCAAACTAGTCGCTTAGGGTCCAGTTAGATTAGCCGAACATAGGAATTTAGTTAAATATACAAATGTCATTTGACTTTGAGAAAACCGTAGTTTGGCAGTCTAGCATTTTATACTGGGTGATGATTGAAGGTGAAATGAAAATTCGGACCATGGCAGGATTCAAACCAGCCAGTGATTCGAATAAATAAGATCAATAATCTAGAAGAGAATCTCAGCTATTGCAATGGATGTATTAACATACAACCACACAATAGAGTGGGTAGGATAAAACCACAGTTCAATATAATTAGGTGGAGAAAGAGATAGATTGATTACTGATGCTTTGTTCATTCAATCAACCAACACCCAATACATGTAATAGAAATGACGCAATGCCTATACCAGATATATGGAAAGTTTTACTATCAAGGTAGCATCTACTAACAAGAAAAAAAGAATGCATATCTACTCGAATATTTTGCCCATTCAATGACACATATTCACCTTATTCAGACAGATAATTAGACAGAGTAATGAAAAGACGAAGATTATCGGAAACATGTGATGTATTAGCGCTATACATTTCGAACAATCTCATCACACATGGACTTGTCGAACTATTTATATGAAAATTTACCAAAAGGGTCAATGAAGTTAATAGGAGCAGAGAAAAAAAAGTTACTCTTGGTATGAAAATTAAATCAATACTACCAAGGTAGGTTCAACGTGAGTACAAGTTGTTTTTGTATACATAAAGGCGGTTTGAATTTACGGATGGCAAGAGCTTCAGTAAATTTAAGCACTCGGCTGTGATCACTTCTATGTAGTACTTTAAAGGCTGTTTTCATGTCTATCCTATGCTTAGTTTCTAGTATATGTTTTAATTTCCATACCAAGAGTAACTTTTTTCTTTTCTTTTTCTCTACTTCTTCCTATACCTATGTTTCTTATTAACTTCGTTGACGTTTTTCGTAAATTTTCACATAAATAGTTCAACAAGTTCATGTGTGATCAGATTGTTCGAAATGTATAGCGTTAATTACATTACAACATGTTTCAGATAATCTTCATCTTCTCATTACGCTGTTTAAATTTATCAAAGGGATCAGTTGTTTTAGATAATTGAATATTGGACATTAGGAAAATATTACATCAAGAAATATAAACATACAGTTTATATTCAGTTTGGTTTTTTTTCTTCTTCAAAAACCAAAAACTAATTAAACATACATACTGATATAAATACTATTGTCCAACTGGATATCTTAAAATGGAAATTAGACTTGTAGATGCAATAAAACAAAAAACAATAAGTCAGTATACCCTTTAATACCTTTTTCTTACCGAAATAAATGCCATAAGAGTTGAAGATTACTTATAATGAAGAATTGAAGAAACACATATATTAGCAGTTAGTAAAGATGGTACCTTGATTAAATTATATATTTAATTATAGAATAGGTTAAAAATGTAAACAGTCAAATACAACTTCTTGATTTGTAATTGTTAAAAGCAGAATACCGATTAAAACAAACTCTATTGCCGTTGAATATTCTCCTATACAAATGTAACTTGGATCGATCGATAAAAGTAACAACACTTAGTAATAATCTTTTTGAGATTAATGGGGATTTTTTAAATTTAGAATTAGTATTCATCATGGACTGACATCAGTTGGGGAACCATTGAAAATTTGGGAGCACTGGATAGCTGTTTCGTTCTAGTATGTGACTCCTGAGCAGTACGCACCCACGACCCAGCTAGGGATGGAACTCAGGACCTTCAGGTTTCATGGCAAACGCGTTAGCCATGTAATTCTCCGTTGTTTTTACTGGATTGAATTGTTCGACTTCTTTGGTGGCTATTGTGTCTTATTGGCCTGGTGGATAACGCCTTGGCGTTTGAAGCGATGGGTTCTAGTCTCCTTGGGAACAGCATCACACACTGAGGTGCAGGTACATCCAGGTAACCAGTGGGTCCCAAATAGGACGGATTATGCATCCCAGATTCTTCTGCTAGCCATAACCAAGTAAATTACTTTCTATTCTACTGATGAATAATTGTCAAGTGAAGTGCTCGGTATTGAGTAGTTTTAACCTCTTGACTATTAATCGCTTAAGGTACTTTCAGTTAGCTATAAACAGAATTTCCATTGATCAGTCATCTTATACATAATTTTACTGCCTAATGATTGAAGGTGAAATGTAAATTTGGACCTTGGCCGGGTTTAAACCAATAAGTAGAGCATCGGGGAGGAAACCCGATGGTCACTGGCTTGAATCCGACAGCATTCCAAATTTTTATCTCACCTTCAGTCATCACCCGGTAAAAATACTAGCCTACCGAACCACGCCCATCTCAGATAGTCAAGATGATTATACATCAAGAAGCTCTAATGAGCAGCCGTGCATGACCTGTGGGGTCAACCAGTCGGAAGTGAAGTGGATGCTAACTGAAGGGGAAGACCTTGGGTGGCAGTCGTGCTATGTCGTGAATTGACAGAAGTTGGAAATTAGGAACTACTGGAAACCGACCCAGTGACTGAATGGTTAACGCATTCGCCGTGAAACCTGAAGGTCCTGAGTTCCATCCCTAGCCGAGTCATGGGTACGTACTGCTGAGAAGAGTTTCACACCAGGACGAAACAGCTATTCAGTGATCCCGGGTTTTCAATGGTTCCCCAAATGATGCCAGTCCATGAAAGGGAGTTAAAATGTCATTCTTAAATTTTCATCTGATCAGTTGTTCATAGAAGAGAAATAGAGAAAAAAAAACAAATCGAATTGATAATATCGATAGTGAAATAATTAAATAGGAATAATTATAAAATAATACAACTGTTAAGTCATTGTTTGTTTCTTTAACAATTTCTACTTTATAGATGGTTGAAAATCGGTCACAATGCCTCAAAGGTATACACTTCTTAATATCTTCTAAAACTTGAATATTCATACTAACCTTTTTTCTTTAAATGGTTTATTCTTGTACACTACTTTATCTTCTTCGATATCATTCCTTTTTAATCCACCTGTTCCATATATGTATATACTTCTATGATGAAATGTGACAAATTGAGTTGATACATTTTTATGTGAGATTCTACGTTGGTTTTGTTAGTCAAACAACTAACAGCATAATATTCAGAAGAGAACAGAACAGAACCATTTCACTTTACAACTGAAATACACTTAGTGCTTGACAGCATACACAAAAAACATGATAATTGAAAGTGAAAAGAAGAAACTCTACCTAGTACTATAGTAGATCAATAGAAAGTTTAAAGTGTAGAATTGATTACCACTCTAGAAGAATTACACAGAATAAAGATGTACTGTATGGAAAAGTATAAGGAGAATCAAAGATTAGAAGTGATAGATGACAACAAAGGATACACGAATGAAATGTACACTTTCAGGTGATAAACCTTGATAACCTTTATCGCTAACGCGTAAATCTTTCTATACATTTATTGCTTGAAAAATATAAAGATCATAACACTGATCATGTACGGTGTCATTATAACACACTACTAGGGAATTCAAGATTAACATTCAAACAATATCGAGGCATCCACATAACAGCCCATATGCCAATAGAAGTCGAAGAATTCAATCTAGTATCCACAACGGAGAATTACAAGCATATTAATCAGTAGTAAAAACAAATTTCC